CATGAGAAATACTACGAGTCCTGCATAATCCACTGAAACTGTGCTCTACTCAGAGCATAAACCTCCCATAAAAGACTGCATAGAAGACAGCCTGGGGGAGAAGGAGCAGGCGTTCAGGAAAAAGCAAATCTTTTGAATTATTTAGAGTATCACTTCTTGCAACAATCATTGTCTTGCAAAAGACATCAATTGTGATTTATTTGGCTAAATAATTAATTTAATTTTTTGTATTTAGCTTCAGATGTCACCAGCCAACTGAGAGGTTTCTTAGAGACAACTAAATATTCAGTCTGGAGGGAGGTTGAGATATCAGAGCTAGTGATGGGGAGCTTAATGCGTGAAGGTGATACTGAGTATATAGATTTATTTTGGAGGATAAAAGGAATACTGTCCAGAGTCCTCTGACCCTGCTCTATGGGGATATGCCCAGGCCCTGGCCTAGGGCTAGGAAGGGGAAATCAGCGATGGCCAATTAATGGTGAGAAGCAAAACCAACTGAGAGAGAGAGAGAGAGAAAGAGAGAGAGAAAGGAACAGGAACACCTATTGCCCACTGGGTGAAGACTGAGTTAGTCTCTAATTAAAAATCTCTAATGGCATCCCATTCTAATTAAAGCACAGTTCAAACTCCTTTCTAAGACTTGAAGGCTTCACATTCGCTATCTCCCACCTACTTCACTGATTTCATCTCCTCCTATGCCCCGCTTTTGCACTCTTCTTCATCTGGTTCTCCAAACACCTAAATTCCTTCGTGCCTTGGGGTCTTTACTTTTGCTGTTCCCTCTGCCTAAAATGCTCTTCCTTCTGCTTTTCACTGAACTGACTACCTCTCACCATTCACATCTCACATCAAATATCACCTCCTCAGAGAAGCTTTCCGATTGCTCTAAAGTAGCTTGCCCCACCCCTTCTCTAGCACACCCCCATGCTGTATTGTCACACCACTCATCCTATCTAAAATGTTTTTCATTTATTTGTATCTTGTTTCATGACTCCATTTCCCACAAAAACAGAAGCTCTGTCAGAGTGTGGGCTTTGTTTTGGTCAACACTGCACACTGCACGTCCTATCCCCATGCTCAGCATCTAGAACATCTCCTGTTACATAGCGGGTACTCAGTGAATATTGGTTGAATCTCAAATTCCACCTTATAGATGACCATGCTGAAAGTAACCCAAGATCCACTGAAAAACCACTCTCTGCTCCCATGTCACCCTCCACCTCCCAGCACAATGACTGTGACCCACAGAAATACCGACTCCAGGCCTGCTTCTGCACCCCGTGGAAGGCGACAGTGACCCTGCTCCCCTTGGAAGCATCTCCAGCTTCATTGCCATCTCATCTGGAGGCTTTATTCTCCTCATCTCCTACAGATCTTCCATTCCCCACCAGATAAAAAGTAAATCATTGTTTAAAAGAATGCTTCAAAGACCATCATTACACTCTGCTGAACAAAATAATGCCATTTGCCCGTGTGTCTGAGGTATAAGGGGGGAAAGAGAAAATGGGGAAGAATAGAACCTTTTCTGTCAGCTTTTCAGTGTTCATGACCAGAAAATTTCCTCAAGGCTGACTGCTCCCCTTCCCCTCTTTCCCAGTGGTCCAGGAAGAGGAAAGCCCCTGGCCAGATGCAGAAGGTTGTGGCAATAAACAGTAAGCTGGCTGCTCCCCGCTGGATGACCAAAAGCTCTCCAAGAAAAAGAAATACGGACATGGGGAAGAGATTCAGATCCTACTGATCCTTACTCTCTTTTACCCTCATACCCTCACCCCCAAAATCTCATCCCTTCTTAGCCCAACAGCATAGCAGCCAAGTTAGCAAGGGCCCAGTCTGAGACATGACTGATTCCCAAGGTGATGGAATCTGACACCCTGATTTGGAACCACAGAGACAGTTTCCTACTGAAACCCTGTAATGTCCAATGCATACACTGTATTCCACACATCAAGCTCGCTCCAAATCAAATACATTTTAATTTTTAACCCATATAGGTTCACTTGGAAATTGTAACGTGTACTGTTATCCACTGTAGTTTGTTTTGTTTTGTTTTTAGCTGAGCCATCCTGCTACCTGTTGGCAGCTCAGTGGCTGCTCAGCTTGGGCTGGACTTGAACCGCTGTTGCTCAGAGCTCAAACTCTTGAGCGAGCTCTTAACCAACTGAGCCACTCAGCCGGCCCTTATCCACTGTAGTTTGGATAAACAGGAGAGAGAGATTAGCCTGGGAAGACATCTTCCAAGCAAGAAGAATGAGTTGAAACTCCAGTGAAACTATGCAGGACGAAAAGAACTTTCGGGACACAACCCATTGGAGATGACCTCCTGAATTTGGCCATGCCAAAAGTATGAATGTTAAAAATGTGGAGAAGATAGAAGATGTCTAATTGGGGAAAGTCTGAAGCTATCAGACAGAAAAGGAAAGTAAGCAGACCACCTGATTTCAAGAAGCCCGGACTCAGGGGTAACTTTAAAAGTATGTTCAGGGCCGGCCGAGGGGCACGTTGGTTAACAGTTGGCTTGGGACACCAGCTCTGAGCAGCAGGGCCCCGGTTCAGATCCCACATGAGGGCCAGTGACACTGCACCCTCTACAGCTAAGATGGTGAACAACAGCTTGACCTGGAGCTGGGCTACCGTGAGTCACCGGTGACGGCGTAGGCTGCAGTGGGGCTGGACGGCAGCTGGTATGAGCGGCTGGCAGCAGGCATGAGCGGCCGTGAGCAGACATCCAATGGCTGGTGACAGATCTGCCTCACCCGGGAAGAACGCAATGATCACAATACCAACATGGACCAGTGAAGCTAGACTGAAGAAGAAAGGAACAGACAGCTTGTCTGTTCCCCTTCCTCGATTCCCCAACACTGTTCCCCTCCCCCAATTCCCCAATAAAATCTTTTAAAAAAAGTGTGTTCAGATCAGGGGATATATAACTTGAGTGTAAGGCAAAGGAGAAAGATATGCACAGAGAATGGAAGAATGTGTGAGCATGTGTGCCACAGAGGCTTACTGGAATGGTGGAAGGCAGAGATGAAGCCGACCTTCATGTGATCCATTCTGAGTCACTTAACCTAGGGGCAGTCTTGGGTTTTTTAACCATACGATGGGGCTGAGCATTCCTGTCTCATAGTGTTGTTGGGGGAAGATTTAATAAAATAGCACATGGAACACAACAAGGATCACAGTGGGTGCCACCTGAGTTTCTTGCTTTCCTCTCCTCCTTGATAAGCATCACCTAGAATGCATGTTGAACAGATCTTTGGTTCCCAACCCTGGTTGAAATCAGAATTTCCATGGAAGTCAATTGATAATCGGCATGGTTAGCAGATGAAGCTTATCAGGGAAATATGGGAAACAAAACATTATCTCACTTCTCTCCACATGATGTGGAACACACAAATATCTCCCTTAGAAGAAAAAGGCTGCCACTAAGTTCTGGAATGAGAAAACCAGAGAATTACAATTTTCACAAAAGACAGGCTGATGTTTTTTAATGGGATGTCTCTTAAGGGCATTATTCTGCTAATGGCATCCATTTCTTTCTGAGCCTCAAAGATTTTCATTTATTTAGGCATAAGAACAAATTGAATATTTCCAGCAATTCTACTGAAATGTAGTCAAAATAGCAGTGTCCTTTTATTGTACTATTATAAGGAAATATGGTAAAATCTGGGACTGTGACATTCAGCAACTATGATAAAAATATTGCTCAAGGGAAGTCCCCTAGACACCAAGTGAAGACGTCATCTCCCCCTCCACTTGACCAATTTCGGACAGCTTACGAAGTCAGATCAGGGTAATACAGAGTTTCCAGAAAAGTTCTCTCCTCATAAACCATTATCTAAAGGCACTTAGCGCTATTTGGACACAACAAAGGAGACTGTCTAAGAGTGTCTCTTTTGCAGGTATTAGTATGAAAAGCAGTCCTTGGTAATGCAAAAAGGCAGCATCACAAACCAATTTACAAACGTCATTAGCATGCTTTCCAACGGAAAATAACTTGGCAGCCTGACCAAACAGATCTCACAAATATTTACCATCTCCATGTAAACAAAAAGACAGTTGCATGGTCTGCAGCTCGGGGAGGAAGTGTGGAGATCAGAAAGTCAAATATGTAGGCCAGATTAGTAGAGAGGCCATCGGAGACCTAAAGATCAGTGTGAACATATGGCTGTAGAGCTACAGAGGGCGAGGAGCGTCTGGCTGACCTGCAGAGTTTCCTTAACTATCTACTTAATCATAGCACTCAGGGGACGTTCCTCCTAAAATACATTTGACTTTGAGTTTAGAATCTGTGGCTTGTGTGGTTTCTGATACACTGACATTCACGATATTATTCTCCTCCCCCCTCCTTCCCAGTTTTTAAAGAGTGCCTTGGAACAGCAAACACCGAAGCTTGCCCCCAACCTCTCTCCCGCCTCTTTCTACTGAAGATCATAAAAGGTGTTTTGGGTTTTAGTTTCTGGAAATCACTTTTTTATAAATTTTCTTTTAAGCCGAAATAACAGCACAGGAGAAAGGGGCTGAGATAGCCAGGCAGCTCGGGAGCAAGCGGCCTCAAAATGACAAGTTTCCTCTATCTTGAAAACTAACGGCAGCCCAAACACTGCAATTTTCTCACCGCCGCCCTTTCCCCCAAACTGCCTAGCGGCTTGCTTTGTTAGGTCTAGCCCTACAGTGGCGGGAAGAAGGGCTTCTCGGAATTTTTTTTCTAAGGTCAAGGACTAGAACCTTGCAGACCTCTCGGCACTGCTTGCGTACAGACTCTCTTAACAAGAAAACGGTGAGCGAGGAGCCCGTCACCCTTGTCGACCGCTGGAGCGCCCAAGCTCCCCTACGATTAGAGAAAACGAGGTCACAGAGCAGGGGTTTTGGGCTCCCCGCGCCCCTCCGACCACCAGCAGGCTCCTCGTCCCTCCCGCCCTTTCCAGGCTGGCACAGGGATCCGAGCACCCCTGGGTGCCCCCAACCCCCTAAACCCCTGCGGATGCACACCACCTCCTGGGATGGGAGGGTGCTCGGAGGGGCAGTCTGTTCAGCGTGCCCCCCATCCCCAACACTCAGCCTCAGAGGCTGCAAAACCCGAAGATCTGGGCAGCATAGACCCAGGCCGCCCGACCCGGGTCGGGAACTCGGTATCCTCGCACCGCCAACCTCCCTCACCCTGTAATGCAAACCCGCCGCGAGCCGGCGGGGCAGAGTTACCCGCCAAGGCCCAGGCGCGAAGACCGCAGGAGCGTACCGGGCTCCGCCGCTGGGGCTCCGTGGCGCTCCGCTGGCTGCCGCCGCTCGCTCCAAGCCGGCTGCTGTCTCTTCCGCGGCGCCTGCAACATCGGGCAGCCGAAGCCCACGGCCGGCGGAAACCGGAGGAAGGTGGCGCGCGGGTCAGGAGCGGCGCGGGCAAGATTGGTCTCCCCAGACCTGGCGGAGGAGCAGGGGAGAGCGCAGTGCCGCCTGCGGTCCGGGGCGCCCGCCAGCCGGTGCGCTGCCCGCGGGGCCCGGGGCCGGTACCCAGGCGACTGTGCGCCTCGGAGCCGCGGGGGAGCTCCTCCTGCTGGGCTGCTGGAGCCAGATGGGCGGTGGCCGCAGCCGCCCCCAAGTTCGCAGAGGAAGGTGCAATGCGGAGAGGGAGGCTGTGGAGCTCCGGGTCCCCAGAGCGGCGAGGCAGGAGCGCAGCCGAGCTCCTACCTTTCGGGGTGGGAGGGCACCCGCCGCGCGCCCTCGCAGGGCGTCCCGGGGAGGAAAATCACCACGAAGGGAGGGCTGGGGAAAAGCAGCTGGTGGCTTCTGGACAAGGTAGGAGGATCAAGTTCCACAGCCAAAAAGACACTCCCACACCGCCCTGGTTTTGTTGGAAAACCGCCTCGGCAACAGTGAGGGGCGCGGGCGGTAGAAGTAAACACATTTGTTTGGCGCACTGGGTACTTCTGTGACACTGGGCAGACAGGGCAGGCGGTTTGGTTCCCCTGAGGAAGGAAGGGGTGTTGAGAGAGCTCCAGGATTCCTGAACTCTGGCCTTCAAGGACAAACGTGTTAGTGCTTTTTATCTTTTGGAGATTATTTTTTTTCGGGGGGGGGAGAAGAATGAAGGTGGGACGCACATTTTTTTCTTGTTGAAGTAGCTCTCCCTTGTGAAAAACATATGTTGATGTCCTCATACTTGGATTCATTGGCCAGCAACATTCAATTAATAGCTCCAGCCTTTGGGCGCAGAGCATCATAATCACATGCCATCAAATGACCCCAGAGAGAACCACCGTCTTGGGTGTAATTCAAAGCGGGCAATGTGTCATGCGCTGAAACAATGTCCTTCTGTGATGGACCTTCTGGTATTTGTCTTAATTTTAACAACAGCCCCAGGAGGCAGCACTTGTTATTTTCCCAGTTTTACTAATCAAAAAAGATGAGAGGGTTCAGAACATTCTTATCCCTTTCTCTTTCTTCAAATTTCCTTTGAAGCAACACACACAGATTTTGTACTTTTAAAGGTGACTCGGGAGATCTTAGGGTAGTGGAAAATGTTTCGGGTATTTGTCCACCTGGGCCAATTTTTCTTGAGGTTACTTTGCTTGTTTCGTTTCTCCTGAGTTCCTTATTAATCCATGTCATTCTCTAGCCATCCTAGGACTCTTGGATCTGCAAAGTCATGTGCTAAAAGAAGAGGCCACCCACTACTCTTATGTAATGTTGGTGCTTCTTCATTGTCATTAGTGGCCAAAAAGGGCACTGTTCGCCCTAAACCTAGTTCAAAGTCCACCTCCTCTACTAGCCTGCCCTGTGACCTTGGGCATTTCCTTTTTGTCATGTAAAATGAGATAATATAATTTATATTCAGGGGTTGTTAGGAGGATTAAAATGGAGGATGAAATAAAAAATTCTTGGGCTGGCCAGGTGGCTCAGTGGTTAGACCACAGCCCTGAGCAACAACGTTGCCAGTTCGATTCCCACACGGGCCAGTGAGCTGCCGCAGGAGCTGAGCTGCCAACGGGCCACAGGATGGCTCAGCTGGTGAGAGCATGTGCTCCTAACAACAAGGGTGTCGGGTTCGACTCCCATATGGGATGATGGGCTGTACCCCAATCCCCACACCCCCCACCCGGCCTTGGCAACTAGATTGAAAGCAGCGACTGGACTTGGAGCTGAGCTGCACCCTCCACAACTAAGACTGAAGGACAACTACTTGACTTGGAGCTGATGGGCCCTGGAAAAACACAGTGTTCCCCTTTACCAATTCCCCAACACTGTTCCCTTCCCCAATTCCCCAATAAAATCTTTAAAAATAAATAAATAAATCCTTGGTACAGTGCTTGTGACATAAACCAGCAAATTCAGGAAGTAAGAATATTAATGATCAGTCATTGCCCACTGTGAGTCAGCTGCCCGCCATGAGTCAGCTATTCTCTGCACAGCGTATCTGTCCCTCTCATCTGTCCCACAAGCCAGAATAATATTTTACAATGAAGAAATACAGTCAAGAAGTCAAGGTCACACCTCCTATATTGGAGCTATGATTGAAATAAAAATGCCTGAGACCAAAATTAGTTTTCTTTCCAGTATATGACACCATTATGCAACCATCTGGGGCAGAGGTTTTTTACTTGAGCAACATTACTTTTTTAAAATGCAGGATACATTATTGTATGGGCATATGATCACAACTATGTAAACATTTTGAATTCCTGTGGAAAGTGATAAAGAATTAAGCAGGGTGATGGGCTTATAGGTTTTTTAGCCCTCTCTGGATAGTGTTTTTGGTAATTGTTTGGGGGAAAACATTTTTACAATGTAAATATATTTAACTCAACCTTTGTGTAGAAGATTTATTTTAACAAGGTGTGACGGAAAGAGCCAGAAGTAGGAGACAACTCTGGAAACATGCAGAGTCTTTGAAAGCCCCCTTGAAATCAAAACGGTTTAGTTGGTGTACATATAGTGCTAGCCCTGTTTGCTAGGTTTGTTTTTCAGTGATGGATAGTGCGCCATTTGAGTTAAAATGACATTGTTTCATGGGATGTGGTTTCTGCACGCCCAGAGAAGGTAAAAGCCAGGTTGCTCACATTACCCTGAGGTGCCATTCAGCACCTGTAGACTCATAGTGTAGGGTAAAGTTAAAATAAAGGAAGTCGTATTTCTTCCTCACCCGAATATAGGGCCTGCCTTTTTTTTTTTTTCTGCAAAAAGCTTTATTGTTTCAATTTGGTCCACGGTATGGGAGAGGGCCCCTGGTGGTTAGAAAGCTCCCGAGCTCTTTCTGGGAGAGGCTCAGGCAGAAGCCCAACGCCAGGGGAATGCAGAGGGGCCCCCCCAAAGGCCTCTGGGCTCCTAGTCGTGCTTGAGGGTGAGCCTTTTGAAGAGATACTCGCCAAGCCCGGCCTGGGGGCTGGCCAGCCTGCGGAGGTTAGTCAGGTGATTGCCTATCTTCTTGATGAGTTTCACCTCCTCATCTAGGAAGTGGTTCTCCAGGAAGTCACAAACATGGGGGTCTGCGCGGGCAGAACCCAGGGCATGCATATCCAAAAGGACCTGGTTCAGGTTCTTCTCCATGGTCATAGCAGCTTCCATGGCATCCTTTTACCCCACTCATCTTGGGAAGGCTTCTGCAGGTCCTAGAAGAGGACGCGACCGCCACACTGGTTTTGCATCTTCAAGAGACCTTCCGCCCCCTCCCGCTTCTCCTCCGCCAACTCACGGAAGAAGTGGCTCACGCCCTCTAGAGCCACATCGTCGTGGTCGAAATAGAAGCCCAGAGAGAGGTAGGTGTAGGAGGCACGCAGATGCAAGTTGAGCAGGCGGTTGAAGGCGGCCTCCACCTTGGTGGCATAATTTTGACGAACTTGGGAGCTCATGGTTGCTCAGCAGTAAGGAGTTAAGCGCAAATAACGGTGTTAGCTGGTCTCAGAGGCCGCGGATGGCTGAGTTGGTTCCGAAGGTTGAGACTGGAAAAGAGGTTGGAGGGTGGTCGGAGGCTGGAAGAAGGGGCGTCCCTGGGTCTGTTCCGTCCAAACACTGTTGAAGCAAGAGACAGATCCGGGGGACAGCCGAGGGAACTGGGAGGCGGTGGCTAAGACTCTTCTTTTATCTTTTAAATTCTCATATCCTTTCCCAAGTACAGGCTTTCTTGGCATGATTGATTTAGGACTATCTACTTCATGCACAGGAGACCTATTCATAGGGGTGTGCTCTCAGCAGGACAGTCACACGAGACCATAGTACCTGAACCCCAGGACTGGAGACACCCATAAAGTGACAAGAGGACACTTTCTTACAATCTGTCCTTGTAAGTCAAAAATAGAAAGAAGTTTTCTTAACATTTCTCAAAGCTTGGATTGTTCAGTTTTAAATAGTATCTGGCTCAAGACTGAGCTTGGCCCAGCCAATCCTTTGTACATAACAATCCTTCCTCCAACTCTAGCTGAAGATCCTGCTAGTTTATCATCTAACTGTCCTGCGATTTAATGTCCTGTAAGCACTTGTTTAAAGAACATATGCATGTCAAAAAGAATAAGCCAAAGGGGCTGGCCGAGTGGCTCAGTTGGTTAAGAGTTGGCTTAAGAGCACAAGCTCTAAGCAACAGCGTCGCCGGTTCGATTCCAACATGAGCCAGTGAGCTGCGCCCTCCACAACTAGGTTGAAGACAACAACTTGAGCTGAGTTGCAGCTGAGCTGCTGGTGGGCAGCCGGGTGGCTCAGTTGGTTAGAGCGTGTGCTCTTTTTTTTTTTTTTATTGGGGGATTGGGGGGAAGGGAACAGTGCTGGGGAATTGGGGGAAGGGGAACAGACAAGTTGCTGTCGTTTTGTTCTTCAATCTAGTTGTGGAGGACGTTGCTTCACTGGCCCAAGTTGGCACCATCATTGCGCTCTTCCCGGTTGAGGCAGATCAGTCGCCGGCTTCTGGATGGCCACTCAAGCTGGCTGCTGTCTACACACGGTAGCCCATGGCAACCCACTGCCACAGGGGCTGCAGCCTACGCCGTCGCCGGCGACTCATGGCAGCCCAGCTCCAGGTTGAGCTGTTGTTCAGCATCTTAGCTGTAGAGGGCAGTGTCACTGGCCCTCATATGTGGGATCCGAACCGGGGCCCTCTGGCACCCCAAGCCAGTTCTTAATCATTGCGCCACTCGGCCGGCCCTAGAGCGTGTGCTCTTAACAACAAGGTTGCTGGTTGGACTCCCACATGGGATGGTGGGCCGCACCCCCCCAACTAGCTTGAAGATGGCAGTTGGACTTGGAGCTGAGCTGTGCCCTCCACAACTAAGATGAAGGACAACAACTTGAGCTGATGGGTTCCTGGAAAAAACACATTGTTCCCCAATAAAGTTTGAAAAAAAACCACAAAACCTTAAAAAAAAAATAGGACACAGACCATAAAGCAAGCAACTCACAGAAGAAATATAGTCCACAAACATGTACAAAGATTTCAGTGTCTTTTTATAGCACTGTTCAAGAATATGTAAACAATAATGAGAAATCAGATTGACAAAAACTAAGAAGAGTAATGAGATTGTTGAGCTTTGTCAAAGGTGTCAAGGAAACTATATAAGAAAGTGTAAAGTGGTACTTCCTTTCTAGATGACAATTTGATGATTGGCTATCAAATTTGCAAGGTTGTTTTGTATTTGAATTTCAAAACCCTAAACTTTCCTTAACTTTCCTCCTTTGAAGACAGTTTGGCCTCCAGCCAACAAGCAAGGTAGAAAAGACAGGAAATCTCTTAGTAACTCCCTGCATAGGACACACACACACACACACACACACACACACACACACACACACACACACCACACTGGTAAGGCTCTTTCTGGAGTTGTGGGGGCGCAGTCTACAAAACTTCTTTGTCTTGGAGCAGCTTGCTCAGAGCTTTTATTCAGTCAGGAGAAGTGTTAGAAGCCTGGACCACTATCCCATCTGATGGGCCCCACTCCTAGGAGAGGAGGGAGATGTTCCACACTCCCTTTCTGGCTATGGAGATGCTCTCCTAATTTCTACTCCAGTCCTGTGACTGATAATTTCGTCAAAGCATTACAGGTAACTTTACTTGGGGTGCTCAGCACATTAATTTTATATACAGTAAAACCTTGGATTGCAAGTAACTTGGTTTGCGAATGTTCTGCAAGATGAGCAAACATTTCTAATACATTTTAACATGGTAAACGAGCAATGTCTTGCAATATGATTAGTTTGTTTCTGGAACAAATTATGCTCGCAAACCAAGGTATTTACTCTATAACAATTTTAACTAACATCTTTGTCTCTCATCTTAGGTGGTTTACAGAGCTGAACTTACGCTATTTCACTTCATGGGAGTGTTTTTATAGGATAGATCTCTAAAACTGGAATTGCTGGGCAAAGCATGAGTGAACCTACACTTGAATAATTTCCTACTTTATATTTTCATGTTCAGAAATTCCCACTAAAAACAGACAAACTGTGTTCCATGGCACTCCTGAAGCAGAGTGCAAGGTGGAGTCATTACAATGAGCTGTGAGTGGTAATAATACAAAGGCTTCTCTGCATTTTCCAAACTCCAGTCTGCTACGAATGCATGTATGCTTCAAACCAGCGATTCAATTTTCTAGGACTCCATCCTGTAAAAATAATTACATATAAATACAAAAATATGTATAGGGATGGTCACAGCAGCATTGCTTGCGTGGAGGAGGAAAAACATTACCCTCAAAGTTCTTTTGACTGGTCTAATAATCAAATAGACATGAGACAGATTAGCAAGAGAAGATAACCAAATTTAATACATGTGTATGTATGCATACAAGAGAGTCAGGGACCCCACCTGCATATCAGTTTCAGAGATAGAAAGGGTATATAAGCCATCCTGAGCTAGGGA